TATATATTAATTATCTTTGAGAGAACTTGCCACTCCACCCTGTCATAGGGTTTCTTCATATCAAGTTTGATAAGATTTCCTGGTTCCCCAGTCATTCACCATTGAAATCCTGGAGTGAATGTATTCCTATGTTGTAAGCACATTATCAATGATGAACCTATTCTGAACAAAATTTGATTGAGGCCCAACAATAATTATTGAAAGCCCCTTCTTTAATATTACAGCTGACACTTTAGAGACAATCTTATATACAAGCTAGTGAGCAAACGAATAGGTCTCACATCACCAATACCTGTAATAACTTCCTTTTTAGGAATAACAATAATAAAAGTGGAATTTATACCTTTGTCTATCTTGCCCTTTTTCATGAATTGTTGAATCATAAGAAGCAACTTATCTTTAAACATAGCTAAAACCTATGAAAATGCTAAAGGAACTCCATCTAGCCCTGGCGATTTATCTCTAGGCAAGGAAAAAACAGCTTGCTTCAACCCCTCCATAGTAACATTCCTTTCGAGCTCCTTAGCAACCTCTACAGTCAGTCTTTTGAAACCAACCCTTTCAAGGTAGACAACATAACATTTCTCACTGGAAAAGGCTTTTTGAATGTGGTTAACTATTTCACTTTCCCCCCTAGTCTATGTTATTATCCTTATCCCTGATAATCGAATTCCAAAAATATCATTATGTCTTTTCCTAGAATTTGCTCTGGCATGAAAAAAGAAATTATGTTGAAATCGCCTTCCTTCAACACTTAATTCTAGATCTTTTCATCAAGTAGATCCCTTCCAATCTCATAAGATCATGAACAAATTCTACAACTGAGATTTCTCCATCTCCAATTCAGTTGTAAATAAGCATGTGTCCTATATTTCTTGCTCTATACCATGACGTGCATTCATTCTCCCTCTAATACAATACCTTTTAAGCTTCTTCCCTACAAAGAGTTTGTGTCTAACATTTAAAAGATTTTTATGCAAATAGAAACCCCCCCTTCCCACCATATACAAATGTACTAGACCAAGTTTTGACCCGTTCAACAACATCAGTCGCTTCTAACTACGCCAACTCCAATCTAAAAAGGTCTTCGGCCTTTCAAAAAATAAAATCTTTTTACTATCGGCAGAGAGAATTCTTTGTCGCTAACAAATTCTTTAGTCTTTTTTTTTTTTTTTTTTGAGTGAGTAATAGTTTGGGTAATTTTATGCATCATGCTCGCTGCATATCAATTTTGGCTAGGGCTGGCAATAGGCATGTTGGCATGGCTCTAAAAAACTAGGGCTTGGGCCACAAAATTTTTCTCGATGATGGGGTTGGGGCTAGGGCCAGGTCCATGACATGGCTAGCCCAACCTTTTTTTTCTCTTTTGTGTACCTTTATTGTATTTGGCCCGGTCCTGATAGGGCTAGGGCTAGGCCTAAGCCAAGGTCTCTTCAATCTTATAGGGGCCGGGTGGGGCTAGGGCTCGAGTAGAGCCAATGTTGATTCGCCCTAGGCCTAGGCCCTGTCCCATTGCCTGTTGCCACCCCTAATTTTCGGTATTTTTAAAAAGAATTTCACCTATAAAATACCGTTTAGTGAGTTGGGGGATAAAATCTCTGAACTCAAGAGATTACATAGTGAGTATAGCGTGCTCTAATATTATATACTCGAGCAAATTATCTACTCAAGGGGATTTATTTATTTAAAAAATTTGGATCTATTTTAGAACTACAAGATTAGTATTTCTAGAAGGAAGATTTTTATATAAAGTTGTAACCCTAAAATATAGAATTGGTGAACCAAAAAACTCCATCATATAGTTTTACAGTTGGAACACCCTCTAATCGATCATCTCGACATTGAGATATATATAAATTTGAAAAAAATAATATTTTGAATCCCAATAATAGTATATTTTGCAACATATTATCTGGACCGTCCATCTGCAAAGCTTCTACTTAGCTTGCTTCTCTAAAAAGGCCTAGAGTCAGGCTTCCGTCAAGGCGACTGATCGAACAAAAATCCTGCATATTGACTGCAACTGATATGTGGCTACGACTAGGGGATACTGGAACACATATATGATTAGATGCATATGGAGTTAAGAATCATTTGTATTTATAAACGGAATACCCAACTCAAACAAAATAGATAATGATCAGTCAATTAAAAAGAAAATAAAGCGCTTCTGCCCCCTTCTCGATTCATTTTTTTACATGGTGGATTTCATAGGTGAGGGTGGCTGATGGTCTGAGGATGCCGTAGAACATGCTTCTTTTGTGCCTCAGGTATCAGCCACAACTCGTATTCATACAAGCATATAAGGAACCTTATAGAGCCTTCGTGTTCCAGAATAAGCAGGAGCCTAAGACTGTGTTTATAAAGCCCTAAATTCAATGAGGAGACCATCAAGAACAACCTATACCCATTATTGCCCTAAATTCAATGACCATCAAGACTAATCTGTACCCATTATTGTGGACTTGTTTGATCAATTAGGAAATGCAAGATACTTATTAAAGTTGGACTTACAGTCTGGCTTGTATTTTCTGGTATTTAAAATTTTATAATTAGAGATAAAAATGAATTCTCAGGTAATCCTAATAATTTTTCATGCCAAAATTACATCTTATAATAAATTTTGTTGGTGCACCTTAATTTGATTGTTTAAGGCAATGTTGTCAGATTCTTTTCGGAGTCTGCTTCGGTTTGGTCTAAAAAAAGACACAATTTGGTGTTTCGGCTGATTCAGGGGAAGACTTCGGTTCTTATTTATTTATTTATTTTGAAAATAAATAGAAATTTATTTTTAAATTTTATAAAAAAATTAAAAATAAAAAGCTAAACATATATAAATTTATTGCTACATTTAATAATAAATAAAATTGTTGAAATATTATTTTAGTACTATCATTTTTAAATTTAATTTTTAATACTCTTAGAATTACGAGCATAGTAATGAACAATATTTAGAATAGTTTTTTCAAAATTCAAAAAATTATCAATCCTTTATTAATACAATCTTTTATTAAGATACTTTTTACTTTTCTTTAGCCTGTCAAAGTCGGTGAGGCGGTATTTTGGTATTTCTCTCTATACGTGTCAAAGTATAAAAGGTAGCATTTTCTTTTCGTATTTTCCTGCTATACGTGGCATCATAAGTTTACAACCTTTTACTTGCGTATGGAAAGTTTTAAACTTTTAATAATACTAACAGGTAACAAATTTTAAGAGTATATTTTGGTATTTGGTTCGCTTCGTTATTGAGGTAAACCCAAAGACTTCAGGTGCTTTGCCCGAAGCGAAGCAAAGATAACAACAATAGCTTAAGGTTACAATCTTATGCAAACCACACCCTTCTTCAAAAAGAAGAAAAGTGGTTTGGGTCCTAAACACACATGCTCACTGTCTAGGATTTGAATAATCTTTGTTCATATGTTGTAGTTTCCCTTTTTTTAGATTAGTCACTGTGTGAAGAGATTAGGCCTGTTCCAAAACTTGGAGTTCTAAATCCATTCTAGACATACTTTACTATATGCTCTAGTGAAAGTATATTTTCTTTTGGCAAGAATATATGCTTTATGTACATCACTCGATAGGGCAAAAAGCCTAGCTAGAGGTATGGTCTAGGATCTAGAGGTATGGTCTAGGATAAACTTCTAGGATGTGACCTACCTAAACCAACCTAAAAAAGGAAATTATAAAGCATCAATTCAATTCACATTATTTAGAATGTCCATTTTTTTAAATTTATAAGTTGAGGTGAGAATGCCCATTTTTAATATGACTAGGATGAGATGACTAATTATATGATCTTCTAACCTCAAAACAACATTTTGCATATGGATTTTTGAGGTGCATCTTACTTCTATAACATAAGTTTAAAATGTTTGTAGAAATTTATCAAACTACACTTAATATTTGAACTATTTTACATTTTACTCAAGGTATATTTTGATAAATTTTTAAAACTATTTTGATGTGCCAGGGCTTTTTAAAATTTGATACAAAAGAATGATGTGCAATTTAAAATTTGATGAAAAAATATATGCATAAAGATGCTAAATACTTCAAATCATAATTGCAATATGGTAAATTTCTCTAAATTTTTTCTTTTTACAAAATACTAGCAAAGTAAAGCATATAATTTCATGTAAGTAGATATTCGAGGATCTTTCACCCGTGAGAGCAAGTGTATACCTTACATCCGCCGAAGCACAATATGGTATTGTCTTAAAAGGGGTCATTTATCTTTGGGAAACGTATATAGAAGGTCGCAACCTTAAAATGTAAAGTCACATATGCAACTCAAAAATCTATTGGAAATGTTGTTTTAATGTTAAAAACCCATTTAATTGATCATCTCGACATGAATAAGAAAAAAACTAAAGCTTTTGTGTCCAAGAAATAGTACATCTCACAGCACATTATCTAGACCGCCAATTTTCAAGATTTTCATATATTTATAGATCTACTTGATTTTAACCATTTTTTAAATTTAAAATTTTCTAATTAAATGTAAAAATAGATTTTAAGATAATCTTAAAAATTATTTACAACAAAATTACATGTTATAATAAAATTTGAAGGTACACCTTAATTGGATTGTTTAAAGTTACAATCTTATAGAAACCACATATTTTTATCTTTTGTACATGGAAGTCGTAATTATTCTCGTCCCTTAATATTGAATAGACATAAAATCCTAAAAAAAAATTCTCCTGCTTAGTGATTTATCCTAAAACATCTAATTTGATATTTAATAAATAAAAATAATTACGACCTCCACCTAAAAAAAATATGATTACTATGGTTGCATACAATCCCGCACGATATTATATTATGGCTATGAAAGCAGCAAGTGGAAGTCAACAATGTAGGCATCCAACGCTTTGTTATTTTAGGTAGAGAATACGTTTACCTTGTAATTTACCTATTAGTCAAGGGTAATTTCCGACATTGCCCTTTCCTATAAACAGCTGGATGGCGCCCTTCCATTTTTATCCGAAAATAAATTCAGTAATCGGAGGAAAGAAAAACCAGTGTCAAGGGTTTCGCCTTCATCAAATGCTTTTTGGGGTTTTTCTCTCTTTCTCTCTCTAGGAATAATTCCCGGTCTCTCAGAACTGCGCATTTCTCACTCTAAAACTGCTCGTTTGAAGCCCATAGCGGTTTTCTTCCCCTTGTTCTCCATCGAAAGCGGTTTTCCAATGGGTTTCTGCCTTTAATCCATGTTTGCGTAAGATTTTAGGGGTTTTCCATTGTTTTACAGGAATTGGAGGTTTTGGGAAACCGCTCTTTGGTGTACTAAGTGGTTTTCTTTGGTCCAAGCGGTTTTAGGGATTTGTGTGAAGATGAGTACTCCAAAGAGGAAGAATTTCAGGATAGAGCCTTTCAAGCACAAGGTTGACATGGATCCGAAGTATGCAGAGAAGACATGGAAGATTCTTGAGCACGCTATTCATGAGATTTACAATCATAATGCCAGTGGCCTTAGCTTTGAAGAATTATACAGGTGAGTTATTTAGCAAAAATGAATCTGTAATTTACTGTTTATTTTGTCTATGATTGTTGATTCTTCTGTTTTGTGGCTACTCATGGGAGATTTGATAATTTGTCCATTATTTCTTTTTTATTTTCTCATTTTGTATCTGTTTCATGCTTTCATGCTTTCATGCTTATGTTATTTCCTTGATTATTATTACTGCTTTGTTGTATTGTCTGGTTTCTATTAATCTTCTGTTAAGTTTCTATTTGTTTTGGCGATCCTGTCTGATGAGATATGATCCTATGCGTGTTTGTGTTTATCTTCTTGCTTAGGGAAATTGGGTTTTGATTGAGTTACCTCGATCTTTCTTTTGTTTTCTTTTTTGGGTTTCGTTTGGGATTTATGTTTTTGGCTAAAGTCACCGAGATTAGCGTTTTTTGGTGAATGATTCTGTTATCTTCTCCACTGCGTTTTATTGTTTCTTGTGCATATATGTTCAGGAATTGATGTTGATGCTGTGATTCTGGGAATCTTATGGGAAGCATTTTGGTTGATTAACTTATTGATTTTTCCTGACTTAGTTTTATTGGTTCGAAATGTTGCGATGACATTGCCCTGGTGACATTTCTTAAAAAAAAAAAAAAAAAAAAAAATTCAAATTGAAATTGTTGAATGCTTTCATTTTTACTGGTTTCCTTTTTTAGTATGTGATTCATTCTTTCGTCTGCAATGGATCACAGTTCATATAAGCTCTGCGTGCCAGGCTTTGACATTTACTTTAAGTTACCTTATTATTGACATTTATGGGAAGTTTATTATGGTTTTATGGTGAATCATGATTATCAGTTCATTTGATTATCAAAACAAATGACTATTGGTTTTGTTCCTATTCCATAATTCTCAATGTGTAAGGTTCTGGGTTTTTTTTTGGTTTTTGAAATATGCTAACTTTGTGTAAGGTTCTGTTGATTACTTTATTTCTTTAGTGTTTTAAGAGTTTTATAATATGTGAGATTGCTATTGCTTCAAGTTAATCTGGGCATGTAGATGGCCACCATGCTTTTGTAGATCGGAAGCATTATGATGGTTAATTGGATCAAATAGCAAACTGTTTCTCACCCATTTTAAGGCATGGGAAGAATTATGATGGTTAATTGGATCAAATAGCAAACTGTTTGTCACCCTATTTTTTTCCTTTTTAAGCAACTTCTTTTTGGGGTTTTTGTGTGGATAGGGCCACTGAATGGTTCATTTTCTGTTTTCCTGATACAATTTCTTTTCATATCTTTTTCTTTTCTTCTTCTTCTTTCTTTTTTTTTTTTTTTTTTTTTTTTTGTGCGTGTGTGTTTTTTTATTTTTTCCTGGTTTGTTCAGCAGGGAAGGGTAGGTATGGAACTCAAGCCATCACATGTGGTGCCCTGCCGCCCTAACCACCTAGTTTTGAGCACAATCCTAAAAAAGGGTAGGCAGCTTTGTTAGTTTTTCTAGGACAAACTTCAAGGATTTTAACCCTTGACCTCCCACAACCTAATTGATATTCCACCACTAAGCAAATCTTATAGGACTTTTTCATATCTTTTACTTTGGTTTGAATATAACTATATTTAAGTGATATCTTGATCTGCACTTTCTCTAAGAAAACAGCCACTCAGGTTGCACAGGGATGAACTATGTGCTCTCCTTTACACGTAATTGATTTTAATTGACTGCTCAATTTCATTCTTTTGGTGAACGTTTTGAATTATAACAAATCTTAATTTTAAAAAGTTTGAATTGCTTCATTAAAATTTAACCTGCTTTGTAGTATAGTTTGAGAAATGACATAGGCCCATGTCATAATTGGTTTTTGTTCATGCCCCTGGTTTTGCTCAAACCTCATCTTTCCCTCCAAAACAGACAAAAATATTTGTTGAACCCTATTTTCTCTCTTTTATACCGCTTCTCTTCTCCTTAGCTGCCTTAACCTCTCTCCCAAGGATCTCCTCTCTCTCTCTCTCTCT